ACGACACGAGCAGGGGGCAGACTCAGGACCAGACCTGGACGCTGCAGCAAACACCTGACCAGACGAAGGGACCCTACCAGACTCAGCACCTGGAGGAGAAGCAGTGGTCAGTGTGTACAGGCTCGACCCTGGCCGACGTGTAAACGTAGCCAGGTGGCGACCTGTATCCGCCTCCGTGCAGTGAGTCACCCGCTGACGAGCAGGGGTGAACTGGTGGACACCCGCATCCTGGAGGTCAGCACCACTCACCAAGTTCGTCGAGAACGAGGGGAGGTAGAGACCAGTCAGGGTGCCAGAGGGGGCCGCCGGACACGGGAGGACAGTGGAGAAGCGAGACAGGACAGGCCCCCCAGAGGGGTCAGCCAGGGACACCGCAACCGGCCGACTCAGCGGCGTGAGAGTGGTGCGGTCCCTAAAGAAGGAGCGAGACGCTCCAGAGTCAAGGGTGAAGGTGTGAGAGGCCGAAGCCGACACAGTACCTGAGAGGGCAGACTCACCAGCACCTGAGAGCACAGACGCACTGGCACCTAGAGCAGCAGCCTCACTAGTACCTGAAGCGGCAGTACCAATGCCCAGGTCGGGCGGGAAATACCCGTCGCGGCCCCACCGCCCTACTTCGCGGCCTCGCCGCCTTACGTCGCGGCCCCGCCGCCTTACGTTCGCGGCCCGCCGCCCCACTTCGCGGCCCCGCCGCCTCACGTCGCGGCCCCGCCGCCCCACTTCGCGGCCCTGCCGCCCTTCTGTCGCGGCCTCCCCGCCCCACCTGTGGGCCCGCCGCCCTCCTTGCGCCCGGCCCCCGAGGGAGCCGCGACGGGCGACGGGAGGATTTCCCTGGGGGAGGGGGGCGAGCGCCGCCATCCCGCCTTGCCTACCCGCCATCCCACCCTGTCAGTGTTAGGGTTTGGGGGTGGCAAGCAGGGGGTGGCATTTCCTCATTCCTCCCTTTGCTCCTCCTCCTCCTTCGTCTCCCACTGCTGCAGCTGTCGCTGAGGGGGGTGGATGTGTGGGAGACTGGGGTTTAGGGTTTAAGGGGGGTGCGTGGGAGTGGAGCTAGGGGTGTAGCAGCGGGTGTGTGTCGGGGGAGTGGGACTGTTTGGGGAAGTTGCACGGAGGTTGCCGTCGTGTCGCCAGCAGCACTTGTAGTCCGGGGACTTCGTCCGGTAGCCCAGTCGTAGACTTCTACGCCAGCCGCCCGTGGGTCCGTTGCTCGTCTGCCGCTACTTTATCCGCGGGGCTAGTTACTCCAGTATTCCGGGGGCTTCGCTCGGTAGCCGCTGTGCCAGTCTGCCTACTGTTGCCCGTGTGTCTGCAGCTTCAGCCGTCGCCTCCTATCTCCTCTCCCCTCACTCTCTCTCCTCCTCACTTGCCCGTTGTGACTACCACTAGCTTTGCTTATAACTGTGGTCTTTAAACTATTGCTTCTTGAACTTGTGCTCAGAATGTGTGGTGACATTGTGATCCACCCTGAGCTTGTTATGCTTTGCTTGCTCTGCTGATTACACCCCACTTTGGCTATGGGGGTGTGTCAGAATGTTATCTTATGTTCTAGCCTGTAGTGGGGTGCTCTATAGCGAGTACAACCCTTCTAGGGTTTGCTATTTGTATCCCCATTCCTGCTAGTTCAACCCCCTTTCTTTCTTCTAATTTTGTCACCCTGCGCACTTCACCGCCCGTTTTCCACGCATCCACTCTAGCCGCGCGCCGCCCGTTTTGCATTTGCCTGCCTTGCGCCTTGCCTGCCTTGCGCCTTGCATGAGGTGCGCCTGCCTGCCTTGCGCCCTGCCTGAAGTGCACCTGCCTGCCTTGCGCCTGCCTGCCTTGCGCCTGCCTGTCTTGAATCAACACTGCCATCATGGCGACACTTAACGTTCTCGCATTCGAGCCTGACGGTCGCCCGATAGAATTTGCCACTTGGCTTGACGATCTGCAGCTGCTCCTCATGATGGATGCCAAAGACGGCGTTTCTCTGTTCGATCACGCGTCAGGCACTGCCCCTGCTCCTGCTGACAGTGCTACTGCTCTCGACCGCTCACAGTGGCAGACTCGCGATGCTGCTGCGCGCCTCGCTATCCGCAACCACCTGCCGATCACTGAGCACGCGCATTTTAGTCAGCACAAGACTGCTAAGGCGCTGTACGACGCTGTAGTTATGCGCTATTCCTCCCCAGCCACTGCAGCCGTAGGACGCCTCATCCTGCCCTACCTGTTCCCCGACCTGTCCTCATTTACCACCGCTGAGGACCTCATATCTCACCTCCGCGCTAGTGACGCCCGCTTTCGTGCCGCTCTTACTGACGAGTTCCTCGCCACGAACACCCCACCACTGTACTTTACCCTCTACATCTTCGTCACTCGCCTCCTTGCCACTCTTAGCTCGGTCAGGGACCATTTCCTCGCCAAGGACCCTACCACTATCACTCTAGCCGACTTCGAGCAGCAGCTCCTAGCAGCAGAGAAGAACATCCTCGCTGTAGGTGCTGCTCGTGGCACTCCACGCACTCCCCTCTTTGAGGGGTGCTCCCCCTCCCCTCTTGCCCCCTTCTACGCCTCATCTGCCGCTGCAGTCGACCTCCTCGGTGCTGAGAAGGTTGCAGCGGCTTCCCCTCCTGGTGGGAAGCGCGGCAGTGGCAGGGGCGGCAAGGGTGGCAGGGGTGGTGGCGGTGGCGGTGGAGGGAGCGGTGGTGGAGGCGGCGGGGGTGGTGGCGGTGGTGGGGGTGGTCGTGGGGGTGGAGGAGGTGGGTGGGGCGGCGGTGGAACTGGGAGTGGTGGAGGTGGCAGCGGAGGTAGTGGGGGAGGAGGCAGTGGTGGTGGTGGTGGAGGTGGGGGCGGGAGTGGGACCGGCCAGAAGGGGAGTTTCAGTGGGGGCCAGCAGCTGCAGCAGCAGCAGCGCCAGACCCCCTCTTCTCAGCAGCTCCATGACTGGTATGCCGGGCGTGGGGCGTCTAGGGGTCCTGGTCGCTGCCCCTATGTCATTCTCACTGGTCCCCGTAAGGGTCGCCCATGCAACGGCTTTCACACTGAGTACCGCTGCTTCGCTAGGCTCAGCGACGCCTGGCGCGCCAAGTTTCCTGATGCTCCTGAATTCCCCAACTGGGCAGATCTGCTTAGGCGTGATGTACCTATCTTTGATCTTGACTATGATGTAATCCTTGCTGCCATGTATGCATTGACTGTTAGTGCTGAGGGTGACTGTTACTTGTGTGTGCTGCCTGACCCCGGTATAGACCCAGGTGTCAAACTTACATGCTATAGTCTTTCTAGGCTGTAGTGGGGTAGACAGTATGGGGTACAACTTTCTAGGGTTTCATATTTGTACCCAACTCATTTCCTAGTTCATCATTCATTCCTCATTTCTTCACATGGTATAGCGCAGGTTCCCTAGTGGGAACTGTTCCTAGAGCCCATCACTGAAAATCGAGTAATTTAATTTTTTCTGCCCGGAGAGCGAGTCGCTCCTGACCGAGGCGCGCCCTGTGTGCCGTCCTCCCCTTAGCGGCCCGTCGCGCCCTCTCACGGCCCCTCTCACGGCCCCGTCGCCACCCTTAGCGGCCCCTCGCGGTCCCATCCTACTCGGCCCCGTCGCCACCCTTAGCGGCCCCTCGCGGCCCCACCCTGCTCGGCCCTGTCGCCGCCCTTAGCGGCCCCTCGCGGCCCCACCCTACACGGCCCCGTCGCCGCCCTTAGCGGCCCCTCGCGGCCCCACCCGCTGCCATTCGCGGCCCCGTCGCCGCCCTCTGGCGGCCCCGTCGCCGCCCTCAGCGGCCCCTTCGCCGCCCGCAGCGGCCCCGTCGCCGCCCTCAGCGGCCCCGTCGCCACCCTTGCGGCCCCGTCGCCGCCCTCGCGGCCCCGTCGCTGCCCTCAGCGGCCCCTTCGCCTCCCTTGCGGCCCCGTCGCCGCCCTCACGGCCCCGTCGCCGCCCTTGCGGCCCCGTCGCAGCCCTCGCGGCCCCGTCGCCGCCCTCGCGGCCCCGTCGCCGCCCTCGCGGCCCGTCCCCGCCCTCTCGCGGCCCCGTCGCCGCTCTCTCGCGGCCCCGTCGCCGCCCTCTCGCGGCCCCGTCGCCGCCCTCTCGCGGCCCCGTCGCCGCTCTCTCGCGGCCCCGTCGCCGCCCTCTCGCGGCCCTCCTGCCGCCCTCTTGCGGCCGCCATCGAGCCGCCGAGCTGCCGAGCTGCCGACCCACCGAGCCGCCGCCGCCGCCGCTGTCGAGCCGCCGCCGCCGTCGAGTCGTCGCCGTCGAGACGCCGCCGTCGAGCCACCGCTGTCGAGCCGCCGCCGCCGTCGAGCCGCCGCCGCCGCTGTCGAGCCGCCGCTGTCGAGCCGCTGCTGTCGAGCCGCCGACGTCGCAGTTCCGGCCCTGTTCCTACCGGCGCGCCCCGGCCCTACCCACCCGGACTGGTGAGAGCACTCCCGAGCAGCGCCTTTGCCACTGCGCTGCCTCTAGCCTACTGCTCTCACTGCTAGACTGCTGCTGTCATGGCTACCCCCAGTGTCCTTACCTTTGATGCCGAGGGTCGGGCTGTTGACTTTGAGGTCTGTGTTGATGACCTTCAGCTTTTCCTACAGTGCGATAGGATAGACGGACTCTCCCTGTTCGATCTCACCTCCGGTGCCTCTCCTGCCCCTCCTGCCGATGCTGACAGCACTGTTCGCTCAGAGTGGGCCACATGCGATGCTGCTGCCCGTCTTGATGTGCGTCGCCACTTACCGACCGCTGAGCGTGCGCATTTTAGTCAGTACAAGAGTGATAAGACCTTGTACGACGGTGTAGTTGCACGCCACTCTTCCCCTGCCACTGCTGCCCTTAGCCGCCTCATGCTGCCGTACCTGTTCCCTGACCTCGCCGCCTTTCCCACAATCGCTGACCTCATTACGCACCTTCGCACTAGTGACACCCGCTACCGCGTTGCGCTTCTTGCTGAGTTCTGCGCCAAGAACCCCTCCCCCCCATGTACATCACCTTCTACTATATAGTCACCCGGCTCCCTGACTCCCTTCGCTCGGTCATGGACCACTTCCTCTCTGTTTGCCCCACCACACTCACCGTTGACCTCCTTGAGGAGCGCCTCCTGGCAGCAGAGAAGAGTATAGTCGCTGTAGGAGCCTCTCGTGGTGACCCTCGTACCCCCTTCTTTGAGGGGTGCTCCCCCTCCCCCCTCTTGCCCTCTGTTGCCTCTGCTGCTGCGGCCGACCTCGTTGGCCTCGAGTCGGTCGGAGCTGCGTCTGCCCCTAGCGGGAGACGCCGCACCGGCAAAGGCAAAGGGGGCAAGTGTGCTGGAGGAGCTGGCGGGGGCAGTGGAGGTGGCGGTGGAGGCGGTGGAGGGGGTGGGGGTGGTGGTGGGAGTGGTGGCGGGGGTGGAGGCGTCGGTGGCGGTGGGAGCGGAGGCGGCGGAGGTGGCGGTGGGATCTCGGGCGTTTGTCCGCGACTTGTCTACGGACAAGCTGTCCCCCCGTGCTGTTCCCTGCGTCTTCTTTGGCTTCCCCCTTGATGCGCCTGGTTGGCAGTTTTACCACCCCACCTCGCGCCGTGTTCTGTCCTCCCAGGACGTCACGTTTGACGAGTCGGTTCCCTACTACCGTCTCTTCCCCTACCGCATTGCGTCCCTCCCCCCGCCGCCGCTCTTCCTTGCACCAGGTCCCCCCCCGGTAGACCCCCTCTCCCCTTAGGGTCCTGCCCCCTCAGGTGTGTCCCAGGTAGACGCAGTCGAGCCTGTCGAGGTAGCTGTTGACTCTGGTGCTGCTAGGGGTGTTGAGCTTGCGTGTGCGGGGCGTGGGGGTGCTGAGCCTGGGGGTGCTGACTCTAGGGGTGCTGAGTCTGGGGGTGCTGAGTCTAGGGGTGCTGAGTCTGGGGGTGCTGAGCCTGGGGTTGCTGAGCCTGGGGGTGCTGAGCCTGGGGGTGCGGAGCCTAGGGGTGCTGAGCCTGCTCGTGTGGCGTCTGGAGGGACTGGGCCTAGAGGTCCTTAGGGTGCTTCGTCCCGGCGAGAGCTACTCTCTCCACAGGAGCTGCGCGAGTGGTTTGCTCGGCGCTGGAGCCGTGCTGCTGGAGCTGGAGGTGCTGCTGGTGCTGGAGGTTCTACTACTGCTGAGGGTGCTGGTGCCACAGGTCCCGGAGGTGCTCGTACTGGAGGTACTGGAGCTGCTAGGCCTGCGGGTACTTCTTGTGCTGGAGCTGCTGGAGGTGTTGGAGCTGGAGCTGGAGCTGCTGGGGGTGTTGGCACTGGAGGTGCTGCTGGTGCTGATGCTTCTGAGGGTGCTGGTGTTGGTGCTGCTGGAGCTGGTGCTGCTGGCGCGGCTGGAGCTGGGGGTGCTACTGGAGCTGGTGCTGCTGTTGGGGGCGCTAGTGCTGGAGCTGCTGGCGCTGCTGGAGCTGGGGGTGCTACTGGAGCTGGTGCTGCCGTTAGTGGTGCTGGTGTTGTTCCTGCTAGTTCTGGGGGTGCTGCACGACCGCGGCCATACTTCGTTCCGCTCCTTGAGCAGGTTCTTGGTCTTCCGCCCTCTACTAGTCCTGCTCCTCTCTTAGAGTGTCCGCCGCCTGTCCAGTCTGAGTCACAGTTACAGCCAGCCTCCCCACTGCCTGCTCCTTCTCCCTACACTTGTCCTACTGGAGGTCTTGTTGAGCGTCGTGAGCCTGCGTCTCGTCCTGCGTCGCCTGTCCATGCTGCTTGCACTGTTGGTCGTGGTTCACGTCAGCGTCCTCCCCCTGTCCCCGGCACGCACCGGATGTCTCTGCGTCCTTCCACTGCTCCACTTCGTGCCCCTTTGTCTTCTTCTCCTGACTCCTCTCTTCCTGCTCTTGCTGACCAAGAGTCGGACTCCCTTCGTGCTGCCAGTCCTACTGTCACGCGTCTCCTTGCTACTGTCGTCACTGACCCTTCCTTCGAGTCCACTGCTGCGTCTGCCTTAGTTGCTGAGCTTGTCGACTTTGCTGCTCTCTGTCGTCTAGACTACGCTGCTAGTCTTGTCGCTGAGTCTGAGTCTGTCTGTCCTCCGTCCGTCGGGGGTGAGAGTGCCCTTGGCACGGACGTCCTTGAGGACAGGCAGGAGGAGTTCCAGTGCTTTGCTGCTGCTTCACCTCATCTCGTGTCCATGCTGCTGGCCCCTGAGGGAGACCCGGATGCACTTGACATCCCGACTCCACGCTCTTACGCGGAGGCGATAGAGGGTCCCTACTCCTCTCAGTGGCAGGCAGCCATGGACGCAAAGATGGCTTCCTGGAAGTCCACAGGCACCTCCGTTGACGAGGTTCCCCCACCTGGGGCGAACATCGTCAGTGGCATGTGGATTTTCAGGGTGAAGCGGCCCTCGGGTTATCCGCCTGTCTTCAAGGCGCGTTACGTGGCTCGAGGCTTCAGTCAGTGGCAGGGAGTTGACTACTTTCAGACCTTCTCTCCCACCCCGAAGATGACCCCGAAGGCGAAGGGAGTTGACTACATAGGCGCTCAGCGCGACTACGAGCTTCACTCTCTTCACTTCAGCACTGCTTTCCTACAGGGTAGCCTGCACGAGGGGATCTGGCTGCGCCGCCCACCTGGCTTCAATGGGTCTTTTCCTCCTGGCACCCAGTGGAGCCTACGGCGGCCAGTCTACGGTCTCCGCCACGCACCTCGTGAGTGGCACGACACACTGAGGACTACACTTGCGGCTCTTGGGTTTGCTCCTTCTACTGCCGACCCGTCGCTGTTTGTGCGCACCGACACCTCTTTGCCGCCGTTCTACATCCTCGTGTACATCGACGACTTGGTCTTTGCCACAGCTGACACTGTTGGACTCGCCCACGTGAAGTCCGAGCTGCAGAAGAGACACACGTGCACAGACCTGGGTGAACTGCGCAGCTACCTTGGCTTGCAGATCACCCGGGATAGAGCACAGCGCACCATTACCCTGACTCAGTCACACATGGTGCAGCAGGTCCTTCAGCGCTTCGGCTTCACGTACTCCTCGCCTCACGCCACTCCTTTGTCTACTCGCCACTCGCTCTTAGCTCTGCCTTGGGATGAGTCCGTAGAGCCGAGTGGCCCGCACCCAGAGCTTGTTGGCTGCCTCATGTACCTGATGACGTGCACACGACCTGACCTTGCATATCCTCTTAGCATCCTAGCACGCTATGTTGCTCCTGGGAGACACCTCCCTGAGCACATGGCTGCAGCGAAGAGGGTGTTGCGCTACTTGTGCAGTACGTCGGGCATGGGGCTAGTGCTTGGAGGGCGCAGTCCAGTGGTCCTCACTGGTCACGCAGACGCGTCTTGGGTTGATGACTTGGCTACGCAGCGGTCGTTACAGGGTTACACCTTCAGCCTTGGTTCCGGTTCTGTTTCGTGGCGGTCTACCCGCTCTTCTTTTGTTCTCAGCACCAGCTGTGAGGCTGAGATCTACGCAGGGGCCATGGCTGCACAGGAGTTGCGCTGGCTCACCTACCTGCTGACTGACCTCGGAGAGCCACCTCGTTCTCCTCCAGTTTTGTACGTAGACAACAAGGCCATGCTGGCCTTGTGTCGTGAGCATAGACTGGAGCACAGAACGAAGCACATTGCTCTTTGCTACTTCCTTGCTCGTGAGCTGCAGCAGCGTGGTCAGCTGCGACTTGCTTACGTGGCCTCTCAGGCCAACACTGCTGATATCTTCACTAAGGCACTCGCGCCTTGTGATCATCAGCGCTTCTGTACTCTGTTAGGTCTTGTACCTACTTTGCCTCACTTGCTCACCTCTTGACCTTGCTTGTAATTTGACCTATATGTACTTGCAATTGGATGTTTAACTTCATAGATATATCTCTGCATGTGAACTTGCCTTGTGGCCCTTGAACTTGTGCTCAGAATGTGTGGTGACGTTGTGATCCACCCTGAGCTTGCTGTTCTTTGCTTGACTGGTCTTGTGACCCCTTGTTCTCCCCCACTTTGCCTATGGGGGTGTGTCAAACTTACATGCTATAGTCTTTCTAGGCTGTAGTGGGGTAGACAGTATGGGGTACAGCTTTCTAGGGTTTCATATTTGTACCCAACTCATTTCCTAGTTCATCATTCATTCCTCGTTTCTTCACACCAGGTATAGCGCCTGCAGCCCTAGGTGCTAGTGAGTCTGCTCTCCCTGGTACTGCGTCCCCTCAGGCTTTGCACACCTTTACACTTTAATCTGGTGCTTCCCGCTGTTTCTTTCGCGACAGCACCATAGTCACTCCCCTTCGTCGACCTGTCCCTATCTCACTGGCTGACCCCTCTGGGGGCCCAGTGCTTGCACGGTCCACCACTGTGCTTCCGTGCCCGGCGGTCCCGTCTTGTGAGCTGTCAGGTTTCACCTCCCCTCTTTCTCTACGAACCTGGCGAGCAACGCCGTCCTTCAGGATCACTGGGTTGACACCTTTACTCCTGGTGGAGAGCGTGTGGCAATCTCCACGTGCTCCCGGACAGGCCGCCACCTGGCCACGTTCACACGTGAGCCTGGGTCCAGTCTGTACACCCTCATCACTACGTCGCGCTACACCCCGTTGTCTCCCCAGCTGTACGCATCTGCTCAGGTAGCTACCCAGTATGAGTGTCGCCGACTGTCGCACGACACTCTCCTATGGCACCACCGCCTTGGTCATCCCTCCCTGCCTCGCCTTCGTAGCATGCACTCTTGCTTCCTGGTCTCTGGCCTTCCCAGGTCTCTGCCTGCCCTCCCTCCTTCGCCTGCGCTGCCCTGCATTCCTTGCGTCGAGGGGTGGCAGCGCACCGCTCCTCACTCCTCCTCGTTCCCTCCCACAAAGGCTCCACTGCAGACTCTCCACCTGGACGTGTGGGGTCCAGCCCGCGTTCGGGGACAGGGCCACGAGCGGTACTTCCTGCTGGTCATTGACGACTACAAACGCGTTACACCACGGTCTTCCCCTTGCGCACCAAGGGTGAGGTCCTTGAAGTTCTGATCCCGTGGATCTGCGCTGTTCGTCTCCAGCTCTGTGAGCCGTTCCTGTCGGACTTTCCTGTCTTGCGTCTGCACTCTGACAGAGGTGGTGAGTTCTCCTCAGACCTCTTGGCGGCCTACTGTGCGGAGCACGCCATCCGCCAGACGTTCACGCTTCCGGCCTCTCCGCAGCAGAATGGGGTTGCTGAGCGCCGCATTGGCTTAGTCATGGAGGTCGCTCGTACGTCCATGATCCATGCGGCTGCCCCCAATTTTTTGTGGCCGTTTGCGGTCCGGTACGCCGCGCATCAGCTCAACCTCTGGTCCCGTGTATCCGTGCCGGAGACCTCGCCCACACTGCGTTGGACGGGGAAGGTTGGCGATGCGTCGCGTTTCCGGGTCTGGGGTGCTCGTGCCTTTGTCCGCGATACCACTGCGGACAAGCTCTCCCCTCGCGCCATTCCCTGCGTCTTCCTTGGCTTCGTCCCTGACGCGCCTAGCTGGCAGTTCTACGACCCAGCCACGCGCTGTGTCTTTGCGTCTCAGGACGTCACCTTTGACGAGTCCGTCCTCTTTTACTGTCTCTTTCCCTACCGCACTACTCCTCGCTCCCCCCCCCGCCGCTGGGGGTGCTGAGTCTGGGGGTGCTGAGTCTGGGGGTGCTGGGACTGCTGCTCAGCGGTCTCCTTGGAGTAGCCGTCTTCGTGCGCGTGTGCCTCTCACCTCACAGCAGCTGCACGACTGGTACGGTCGCCGTCAGGGTCGCGCTTCTGGAGCTCGGGGCTCTGCTGGTGGAGGTACTTCTACTGCCATCACTGGAGG